GTTGTTGAATGAATGAATAACTAAATGAATTCATTTTAAAAGAAAGGGCGGGAAGGCTTGAAAATCTGCATTTTGGCTAGCTTCCCAGGTGAATGTGTCAGGGAACAAGTAGTAACAGATGTGCATTCAAATTAGAATAGTTTGAGTATTGTTTAATAAGAGATCATTTACAAAGGTTAAGAGGAAACTATGAGGCTAGTAAAATGCCCAAGGCCTAGTAATAGAGCTCTTGCCATTCAGAGAATGGAGAAAGGTTACTGGATCTGTTACCAGATCCTGGAAGGAGAGAGTCCTGGAGACAGAGCCACCTTGATATAAGCTTGCCCTCCAGTCGGAGGGCTTAGTGAGCCCACACTGATTTTAGAGAAAGGAGTCTGAGAGAAGCAGTTCCATCCTTGCTCTCCTTCCTCTTCGTGGTCTCCTACTGGGGCTCCCTATTGGCCAAACTGGAAGAAGACTGTGACTGGGGTTAGGGATCAGACGGCAATTTTACCTGTAAGGTTATATTTCTTCCATTAGAAAGAAACTAAGATAAGTAAAATAAAATATTAACAGTTGTCATTTCTGGATGTTAGATTCACAAATGTTGAACACTGTTTTTTGTTCTTATCTGAGATTTCTGAACTTCTCATGAACGTGGTGCTAGTGTTCCATCTACTCCCATGGTTAATGGTCTCGGCCACGTCAGAGAACAGTACACACATCTGACATGTGGAAATTTTCTCCTTTATAGCTTTCATTTGGAAGGTTCAATTTTCATGAGGTCACAATTGCAACCTCCTCTTCTACCAGATTTTTGATATTTCTCTCAGCACTGAATGGTGAATTAGAGACAAATTAGAAATATCAGGATGGGTGCAAAGGTTATGACCCAACCACACCAGTTCTAGCCAGGTGACCTTGTAAATTCTTTCAATTTGTTTCATTTAAAAAGTGGCAATATGATAATGTCAACTACTCTACCAGGCTACTGTGAGAAATGCATGAGAATGTATATATGTATGTAAAAGTAAGTAAAATCTAAATAGTTATATAAATGTCCCATTATTCAGTAATACCCAAACTTTCAAACTCACTGTTACTTGAAGCTTAATTTGAATTGAAATATTTGAAAAGGTTTTTTTTTTTCCCTCTCTAGCAACCCATGGGCTTTTTTGGTATCAGCTGTCTGTGAATCTCCAAGTAGGTATCCTAGGAAACTAAGAAATACAGAGCAGCTTCTCTCTGACAATTCTTGGCCACACTAGATTTCCCCTCTATCCTCGCCCCTCCGTGGTCAGCTACAAGTGCTTCCTTCTCCAGCTGTCTCAGATTTCCTTAGTTTACCCTTTCCATCTCCAGCTCTCCCATGCTGACCCCCATCCCCACATGTTATGAACTGAACTGTGCCCCCCAAATTCATATACTGAAACCCTAGACTTCAGTGTGACTGTATTTGGAATGAGAGCCTTTAAGGAAGTAATTAACATTAAATGAGGTCATAAGGATGGGACTTAATCTCATAGGACTGATGCCTTATAAGACAGAGACACCAGAGACTTCTCTGTGTGTGTGCATATCTCTGCAAAAGGCCATGTGAGGATATAGCAAGACAGTGCCATCTGCAAGCCAAGAAGAGAGGTCCCTCCAGACACTAATCCTCCTGGTACTGTGATCTTGGATTCTCGCTTCCAGACTGAGAAAATTAATTTCTGTCATTTAAGCCTGTGGTATTTTGCTCCGGCAGCCTGAGCCAACTAATCTACCACCTTTAGCTCTTCTATCCTCTTTCAAGTGCAAAACATCCTAGTTTTTCACACTCGAACTCCACCCTGGAGTATAAGAAAGATTCTTATACTTCCTCCTCTCCTCCAAGCTCTCGATTAGACCACACGTACCTGGGAGGGCAAGAGTTGTTCTATATGGTTCACATACACCTGTAACTCAGGTGCCTGGCATGCAGACATTCTAAGTATTTGTTGAATAAATTCAGTCTGGAAAGAGATCTTTGCTCACATGTCCTTCTCTCTCCAATATTTCCAATCTCTCTCCAGTAGCTCCTTATTTTCACACATGCATAAACTTTCCCATCTTAAGACACAACTCACTTGATATTGCTGCCTTTTCAAATGTCCTGGTTCTCCACTTTCTCTGAGTAAGTGGCTGATTTTTACTAGCCTCATTTAGTACCAGTCAGTGCTCTTCATCTGTTTGCAATCTGGTATCAGGTCCATCAAGCATGGGGAGTTAAGGCCTCCCTTTAAAACAGATGCAGTCATCGTTTCCAGCCCTTGCTTTCCTTGAACTCAATGCTCTACTTTGGATGCTGCTGATAACCAGCTTCTTTCTTAAAATTATCTACTTTTGTGGGGTTGAGGACACTGTACTGTCCCTCCTTCTCATTTCTCAGACCACACCTTCTCTGCCTCCCCTGAGGGGAGAAAAGATCATGGATCAAAGGTTTCTGAAGCAGAAAAAAAAGAATTTTTTTTTTTGAGAAAACTTTTTAAAGTTAAACTTTCTGTGGGACTCACATATGAGACAAAAAAAGCAGAGCAGCTCTTGTCAAATTGGGAATGGTTAACACCTAGCCACACCTGCTCAGCCCCCTCCTCAGTATAACCGTCCCCACTCACCTAACGAAGCTATCTAGCCCCTGTTTTATCTTAGGGTTTCAAGAAACTAAAATTTAAGTTAACTGGACAAACAAGATCAATGAATTGGTATTATTTTCATAAGTAATATGATGAGTTAAAATTATGCCTGTTGTGATAGAGTTCTCTACTTTCAAAGAAAAAGGCATAAAGGAGTGGGAATGTTGTCATTCAAGCTCACTACGGTATGAATCATGCAATTCACAACGCAGGCATCCGGTGGCATAGCAACCTATTCAAATTGCAAGTAGAATACTGAGAAGGAACCAATATCACCCGAAAGCGCTAGCTTCAACAATACCTACAAGGTATATGAAACTCCCAAATCTACTCTTGCAGACCTATCCTTTCATCCAAGAGCCAATGAACCTAAACTCACATGCCTTTCTGTCATGTCAGGGAATACCCATACACATCGTTTTATCACCAAACTGGTTCCCCTCTCCAAGTTCCCCATTTTCTTGCAGCTTTGGAGTTAGTAGTGACTTTCCCTTCTCCTTTTAAGCTCATCTAGTCACCAACTCTTATTAACTCTTCCCTTAGAGACGTGTAGATGTATTGTTTCCCCACTTTGTCACAATTTTCATCTGGACACTCATTACTCCATGCCTGGACTGCTGCAAGAGTTTCCATCCTGTAGACTATTGCCAAATTAATTTTGATGCAATCTTATGTTCACTGGATCTGAATAGCCTTCTGATCTGGTTTCTAGACTGTTCTTTGGTCTAAGCTCATATCTTTATTTCAAATCAGAGGATGATCTAATTGTCCAAACATTAGTCAGTGTTATACAAAAGAGGCAGCAAAACTAAACATCACTAGTGGCTTTATGAATTGTCTTGGTACGCTCCCAGCATTTTGAGCTCTGTGACTCTTGGATCTGACTACTTTAGTCCTGATCTCGTTTTGGTGCCTGGTCTCCAACTGCTTTTTACACTTTCCCTTTGGTACTGAAATGATTATGTTATATATTATTGCCTAGCAGTTTCAGTTCTTGTTTTTAATGTCTCAAGTTTAGCCACCCACTTAAGACACACGACTTTCAATTCAGAACAACTTCCACCTGGCATCCATGGCGTTCCTTAATTGGAAAGGCAACTTTTACTTTTATCTGTGGCAGATTCTCTCTTGACGATTTATTTAAATTTTTTTTTAACTTTTCCAGGGCCACCGTGCTGCACAGCTCTGAGCAGAATCATTCACATTGTAATACGTGTTAGTGGTTTCCCATACTAGAACACACTATGATTTATGTTTTAAGTTCTCTTTTCCTAATCCCCTGAAGCCATTCTTTTTCCACAGTTGTGGCTTCTAGATGCTCACCTGTAATCAGGGCCCCACCCCAATTTCTAGAACCAGTTCTGGCCAGAAATGAGAGGTTGAATAGCTCTAGGACTCAGTGCTAATTTACCCTTGTAATTAGTTCAGTGTTACCCTCTGTTCTTCACTTCTATTAAATGAGCTTCTTTCCAAGACCTGGGTCGTAGTTCTGGTATGTTGTGTCCTATTTTGCCATGGTAATATGCCCAAGACCCTAGTCCTACTTACCACCCGTTAAAACTCCCTCATGCCAATTCCTACTGAAATACTTGCCTACTGTTGTCCATTGCCATGTATTTAGGATACCATCGGTACGCTGGTCCAGACCTATAAGCTGAGTCTGTCAAATCTAGTACCAACTTCATCCCAGCAAAAGGGTCTAATCACATCTTTTGACCACTTCTCTAGCCTTCCCCACCATGCTGTTCACCATGCCTAGCAACATCTATCTCAAAATGCAAGAGTATTTAACTCTTTTTAAAACATGATGCCCCAATTAGAAAAGCAGTATTCAGATGTTATCTGATCATAAATGTTAACTCTCTTATTACAGATACTGTACTTTAATTAAGTGAGTTAAAGTCATCTTTATCAAGCTTTTAAAACATGACTTTCTAAACATCTTCACCATACTGGGAAACTTATCTTCTACCAGTGGACACAAAATATATGCTGGCCCTATAATATGAACTGTGCTATAACTCAATCATAACAAAGCAAAATTTGGAAAGGAGAAATAGCAAAAAGAATAACATCAAAGATGATCAAAGTGATCTCTAGCAATTATAATCATAAGTTACTACAAGTGAAAGTGAAAATGACAAATTTCAATGGATTACCTGCCCAAGTTACTTATTAAAATGCCAAAAAGCAATTTCTTTACCATAAAGATTTTTCCATATTTTATTTTCCTTATACTAGAGAGAAGTCTCAGGTACGTTTACTCATATGGTCAATTCACCACCTCATTAAATTCTGCAAAGAAAAAAAAATTCATAAAGCATATTTGGAATTACAACTGTAAAAAAAAGACAGTGGGGAATCCTCTTGTTCTTGAAAACTTTATTGCAGTTTAAACAAACAAACAAAAGTTATTTATGTCACCCAGGGACAGGTGGGAGAGTATGATCACCCTTCGTAGCTCACAGCTGGCAAACTCCAAATGAGAGATGTAATCTAAGTAAAAGATTTTTATTATTCCAGATTATATTCACCTCCCAAAGTGATAATGAAAATAAGTCAAAAAGATTATAAACAGGTTTACATGAAGTCACATCAGAAGAGCTGAGAAAGTGAGGCCTAATGCTTTGGGAAATTCTGTTTCCACTTAATACTCAGAAGGATAAATTCTTAAAAGGTCAAGAGTAGGTGGTTTATACTATAAGTATTAAAAACAATGATACTCACTTTCATCAATTTCATATTATTATTAGGATTCAAGACGTTATGTAAAATCTAGATGTAGGCCCAGTTAGTCATTGGCAAAAATGGAAAACCTACATTTCTTGAGAATAAAGAACAATAAACAAAAGTGTGACTGTTTGCATTTTAATTCACAATTATTAAGTTCAATTTTAATGTTCACACACACACAAAACACATGGTAGCATTATTACACACCTGAAAAAGATTCCAAATACAAGGTCCCTATTAACAACAGAAACCAAGAAACTGAATTCAAGAAACTGAAACAGATTTTATTTCTAATCATGTAATAAAGTTTCAGTTATTCCTTTTGAGTCTGCCTTCTGTCAACAATGTACAGCTTGTCAGATAATTATATCACTGATTTCCAAGCTCTCCTTCCACTGTCTTTTTCTCCTTTAACTGAGATGTGCCTAGAGATAACAAGGTGACTCAGATAGCTGTAACGGCCTTCAACAATTGTTTTACTAATTAGTTGATCTTATTCTAGTGAAGGCTAATGTCAAATTTACCCCATAGTCTTTGATTGCAGAATTACTTATAATAGAACACTGCCTCATATACAGAAATCTTGATCAATAATCTTCTACATACATCGCATAACCAATTATCTTTCTAAACAATTTACAAATGTAAAATATGCAATATTGTTTAAAATAAATATACAATATATAGTCTCTACATTCTCAGACAGGCTTAAAAATGAGGTAATAAAAACTTAACTGATTAAACCTTTTACCATTCTTGGAAATGGCTTGGGGAATTGGTGAAAAATTTTTTTTCCTTAGGGCTTTTCATGTTTTCTTTGAATGTTTCTGAGTACCCCCTTTTCTATTCTGAAAAATTATGTAAAAAATCCTTAAGCTTTGTTGGATAGTCTGTCATCACTCCAGTTGCTCCCAAATCAAAAGCTCTTTTGTATTCTTGCTCTTCATTTAATACCCAAACATACACCTGAAAATCAGAAACATGAGAAATATGGTAAGAAATGTTAAAATAGAAAATTATTTTTATGGTAGTATGTACGTACTCCAATCTCAGCATACTTAGAATTACCCTTTTAACAACCTGCAATTTTAAGGATCATTGAACTCTTTTTAAAAAAAAGTCCACTTTGTTCATTAAATATAGACTGTCCCATTCCTCCGGCTTCAGCCCTTCTCACCTACAGAAATGGACTCGAGCTACTGAAATGCCAGTACTTTCTTGTTAACTGTAAGGACGAGCTTACGGGCTTCATCCGCAAACCAGCAAAGCAGCAGCAGCAGAGTCGGGACCAAATTAAGTCAGTTAAATGTTCCTGCCCCTTAAACTTGTGTTAAACTGGTCAACTGCCCTGTTTCTAAAACGCATCATTCCAAACTTACCTGAATGCCTCGGGCAGTGAGGTGGTTGAACAAAGCTTTTCTCATTAGTAAACTAGAAAAGAAAAGCAGAATAGATTTAGGTAATCCTTAGCTCTAAGGAAGGACTCAAATTAGTCCTTAGTTCTAATTTAGTTAATTTGGAGTTCTCGAGTAGTAACAGCTGCTGTGGAGGCAGTTCTGTCTTAACTACTGGATCTCCTTTCTACTCCTTGCTGCCCTTAGAGCCCCAGGAGACCCACATTCATTGAAGCAGCTCAGTGGAGAAGAGGCTCCCTCGCTTCCCCTGCTGGTGCCACAGTGAGAGTGGGAAAGAACTGGGAAGTCTGTGTTCCCAACTTCCCCGGTTAAAATAAGGCAGTGAACTTGGGTCAAGTCCATCATATCACAGTCCATTTACAAAATAAATTAGTCTTTTGTGAGCTTAGAAACCTAATGTCTGTTAATTACACTATCTTATATAGAGGGGAAAAAAGCATTTTTCTTTCTAGTTCCAAATAACTAACTTAAAAGTGAACTTTTAGAATACACATCACTTGAGCAAGAAGGGAACTTACGGTGCTGGAAAGTTATACATATTATTTCTATTCTGTTTATGTCTATTAGAATGATTCAATAACAAAAACTAAAAGTCATGCATTTAACACCAGTTAGAAATGCATCCTTAAAAACTAGAAATTAAATCAGGAGTAAAGCAAAAAGGAATAAATCCCGTGGCAGAGAAAAGAGAAAACCAGTTTTCCAACTCTATGAAAGCGGAGGTAAATAATAAAAGGTTGTACTTTATAACTATTATTTAAGCACTCAAGGTTCCATTTTAAAGCAAAGTATAGCACAGTAACTTTGTGGGTTTTACCTAAAATTAAACTCAACATGTCTTAGAATTTAAGGCATTTTCTTTAAAGTAGATGCCCACCCCACAGGTAGTGCCTCCTTTCCGCTATTAAGTCTCAGTGCAGATTTTTCTGAGAAATGTGCCATTAGTCAATATGTACTCTTACATATATTTGCATGCTGTGCACACTTCTTTTCACCATGGTGTTGACTGCAGCCTAGTGGAAACATGAGCAAGCAGAAGGGAATGGGGACATATCCTGGCTTTTACTAACCCCAAGTAAACCGCTTAGCTTCTGTGGGTGGTGCTCAGTTTTCTCCTGAGCTTGATGAGATTCTCTCTCTCGATTCCTCCTAAGGTTTGTGGCTAGTAATTAAGCTAGTTCTAAATGATTCCTACACATCCATTTGGATAGTAGGTATTCAACTTGTCCTTGTTGCAAATTACACGTAGAAAGTTTGCTTTAAATTATACGCATAGTACTTAATAGGTAGAGCTAAAACAGTAACTTGTACATGAAGAAACTAAAATTCTTACATATCAGAAAGCCAGATGAGAAACCTTTGACTTCTGGACATGGTGTGCGGTTCTTTTAACCTGAGGCAAAATAAAATTTAAATCATTAGTGTAATAAAATAAAGCAAGTTCAAAAACAAAAACAGTGCCTTGCTTGCACTTCGTATGTGGTCAAAAAAATATTTGGAAAAGGACAAAAACAAATTAAAACAAAGCCCATTTGGATTCTCTAATTTCACTGATTTCAAGCTAACTTTTTAGCTACCACTATTCAAAGGCTAAAATTAAAAAGTTATCTTTCCAGAAAAAAAAAATTATCTTTCCAGAGACCTTGGGTGCCCAGAACTCATGTCTCATCTCGTTTTTGGTGAAGCCTCTTTCTCTTGCTTTGCCTGTTGTAATTTTGTATACAGCAGATTTAAACATACAACCACACTTTACTATGAATTGAAAGATAGTTGGGGTGAAAATGAGACTAAAATACCTAAAGCCATTTTTTTTCCCCTTTCCCTTTCAGTATTTGAAAACCCAGACTGTCCTTTTGAGTTATCTTTCCTACTGAAAGAGAGCATACTTGACTTTTAGACCTTTGCTGAGCTCCTTCTTCAATCTCTTTGATGCCTAGAGCAGCACTGTGTCATTAATTTTGGGTTTTTCCCAGAGGAAATCTCTGAGAAGTCAATCTCCCTACTATGAAGATTCCCCAGCTTCTTTCTAAGTTTAACAGAACACAATGACTTTCATTCTCCCCAAATCTTCATTCTTATTTCCTTTCTAACTCCTCTTATTTACACACTTAAGGTAACTCTGAGTCTCCACACTTAAACTCATTTTTCCTCTGAATTCAGTTTTTTACTTGAAGCTCTCTAAATAAACTCCTTTTCCTCCCAACTTTAGCCCAGGTAGAAAGTCCTGATTGCAATTTCAGGAATCTCAGGGATATAATATCTCAAAATACTAATTACCTCAATAAACACAAGGTATTATGTTGTCTTAAGAAGTATCTATTGTCTTTCATTAAAAAATTAAAACATACAAACACATAATATTTTATCTGGCTTAATCCACCATCACTTTTTTTAGATAAAAAATAAATTCTATGAAGTTTGTCTACATGTCTGTATTTTAATAATATTTGCTTCTAAAAGGAACACATGGAGATGATCTAGTCCATTCCAGGCCAGAGTACTTAGCTTATTAAGTACTTTAGGAATAAATGGTTAGGAATTATTCAAATCTAGCAAATGAAAATGATTTATTTGTAGACAAGAAGTGATTTCTGCTGTTTTGTCTGGGAAACAGTTACAAAGACTGCTAATAAATATAATTGCGAATAAGATAAGACAAACATGCTCATCACTAAGAAACTCAGATTGGAAGACAAGCATGAAACAAAGTTGCTGAGTACAAGCATATGGACCAAACTGTTTCTCTTAACAATATTTTCTAATGACTGTTGCACTAATGTTCGGTTTGATTTTTTACAGTTCTGTGGGTATGAAAAAAGTTTTCATGCAGGTGAAGTCACATTTAAATGATCTCCCCACAAGCTTTGAATCCTTTTGTTATGACTCAGTTATTATTAGAAATTTACAATTAGAAAGGACATTCGAAGGGTGCAGCTTTGGGAGATGAAGTTCTTTCTCTAATAATAATGATAAAAATAAATAGTACAGAAGGGTATGAAATGAAAAAAAAAGATAATTTAACAATAAAAGCTATCATTTACTGAGTGCTTATTATTTGCCAGGCAATTCTAAGTGTTTTATATGTTTTTATCTTTTTAGCATATTAGTGTTGGAAAAGCAAGGCTCTGTACCCAGGTAGAGAAATTACATAAATATGGAAGTATCTTACATAAACTAACTCTATCCTTTTCCTTCTATCTCCAGAGGGTTTTAGGGGTGGTTGTTCTGGTGGTGGTGGTGGTGGTTTTTCTTCCTGACTGTATTGATACTAGTAGTGAATTTGGAGTTTAATGGAATTTCAGCTGGGTATAGTTGTCAATGAAGTAGAAAGAAGTAAGGGAAGTTGGAGGGAAATTGCTATTAGATGTTAGAGTGATAGAATTATTAAGTTTCAATAATTAAGCTCAATTCTCTTTACCTGACTTCTGAGCACATGGGCATCAAAGTCATTGTGACCTGAAACTGGTCCAGATTAAATACTTACAATCTTTTATTATTCATTTTAAAGAATGTATCTTAATTTTATTAAAAGCATTGTTAATATAGGTTAGCTAATCAAATATGGAAACAAGTACAATAATCTATTCTTCATCACTGATATTGAAATTAATCAGCCTTCATCTTAGTTCTCCTGTAATTAATAATCGATGAAAACAGGGTAACTACTTACTTCAAAATGATAGAAGGCATTGGGATTTCAAAAAACTGTTCTCGAATGGGCACAAAGGGCAAGAGGCCAGTGAAGAACAGACCAAGAATGAGCAGAACACGTTGTAAACTGAAGAGTATAGGAATATCTGAGTTCTAAAAGACAGAAATGATATTATATGTTACTTTATAACTATTCAGATAAAGAGGATTATTTCACAAACTTCAAAATTTCCCAAGACTGTATCTTGACATCTGTTAAAAGCACTTCCTGAATTATCAACATCCATTTCCACACACACTACACTTAGAAATGACTAGCCCTTGACCAGTGGGTCAGGGTCTATCTTGGAGCCCTATAGTGTTAACTGATGACACCCAAGTTTCTTTATGCCCTAATCTGTTCTTCTGCAACACCTCTTTAGTCTGCAGGTGCTAGTCCTTATCACCCAATAAATACACCAAATTTAATGGAACAAGATAAAGAAACTAAGATATGAAATATTCGATAACATTATATATATTCAGTAACTATGAAGAGTTACATGTTTTTAAATAGAATATGATATAGACATTAATATCTATAGATACATATTAACACTGTCACAAATATGTCATCTTTCCACTACACATACATATTTTCAAATATAAATAGGATTTTGTAAACTAGTCCAAGAATCTAACCACCATTTTAAGTTTCTATTAGAAAATGTATTCAGGGGAAAGAGGATAGCTCAGTGGTAGAGCACGTGCTTAGCATGCACAAGGTCCTAGGTTCATCCCCAGTATCTCCATTAAAAATAAATAAATCTAATTGCCTCCCCTCTCCAAAAAAAAAAAAAAAATATATATATATATACACATATATATATAAAGTAAATATCTTCATCAAGGTCCCCAAACCCTTAGAATGTAAACTTCATACGTATATGAACTGTTTTCATCTTGCAAAACTGAAACTCTATACCCATTAAACAGCTCCCCATACTGCCCACCCCAGCTCCTCCTATATTTATCTTTAAAACAAATAAAAATTGTGATAAATTTGAATTTTTCTGTGCAACAGTAATAAATTGAAAAATTATGCAAAAACATGATTTATTTAAATATTAGGTCTAAATCATTCCTGTATTCAAAGTAAATCTGAGGATTTCTTTTGCTCCTGTGTTCACATGCTGCTTTGTAATATTTTCAGCTTACAGATGTTTTAGCTGCAACACAACACAGAAGTCCCTGAAAAAACTTCGATTTCTGCAAATTCATACACTAACAGAGCCCATGGGAGGAAATAGGCCTAGGGGTTGACCCTCAAAATTTATGCAACTTTGGAATCAGAGAACTAAAAATAGTAACTGGTACTTCTGGAGAGCCATGCAAGGCTGCTTGCTGGTGGGAGAGGGCTGGGAGCAGTATGCTGGTGTACCACTGGCATAACAACTGGCAGCCCCCATATCTTTTATTTTCTAAATTTATTTATTTATTTATGCATTTATTTTATAATATCATATTTTTAAATTGAAATATAAGTTCATGTAAAATATTACATGTTACAGGTATACAATGTAATAATTCACAATTTTTAACGGTTATACTCCACTTATCGTTATTATAATATATTGACTTTATTTCCCATGTTGTACATTACATCCCTGTAGCTTATTTTATACTTGATAGCTTGTATCTCTTAATCCCTCCTACCTCCTACTCTTCGTCCCT